TAATCTTCCGTCCAAGAACACCGCTCCATGAAATTTCAGGCAAAAAAATTCGGAAAAATCGAAAAAGAATCGTCAAAAATAGCTAAAAAAGCTAAAAAGGTCTAAAAATTTTGCAAAAAATCCAAGTAAAAATCAATTCTGTTTTCAAAAATTCTCGAAAAAAATTGGCGAATTTTTCTCGAAAATTTCAATTTTCTGTCTTTAAAATCGCGTTTTTCCAAGACTACAAACTACAAAAATCAATTTTGAGAAAGAACGAGCTTTTTTATTGAGGATAAGTGGCTACAAACTACAAAAAAACCCTAAGCCTCAGTGAAATTTTTTTCGGAATTTTGAGCTTTTTTACCGTGTTTTTTTGTTAATTTTATACATTATTAGATTTTTATGAGAAAAAAACGACGAAAAATGAGCCATTTTGAAGAATTTTTAACTCTTTTCCTAGGGCTAATAGACTACAAACTATAAAAAATCCTAAGCCTCAGTAAAACTTAAAATCGCTGTTAATAGGCTCATTTTCATCCGTTTTTAATGATATTCGGCTCATTTTCTTGCCAATTTCAGATAGAATGTCTTTGAAAGCAAAAACTTCCCAATTTTTCCATTTTTTACACAAAAATTTCAAAAAATTTTCACTCACTTCCTTTCCTGACCTTCACCGACACATGATGTCCCATTGGAATGCGATAAATCGTGTGTTCCGGAGCCTCCAGGCTAAAAACCATCGTGTCGTGATTCAGACGGAAGACGTTGGTGATTCTGAAGGCGTGGTAGGAAACACCAGGTCTTCGCTGGATTTTACACTTTTCCCGGCTCAAAATTTCTCGAATTTTCGAATTTTGAAAGCCGGGAAATTGCAATTCCACTCGATTTTTCTCAATTTTTAGGTCAAATGTTTGGCCCAAAAGCTCGGAATTTGCCTCAAATTCAAATTCCATCGCTGGCTTCCAAAAGTGGTGAATCAGAATTCGAAGACGTGCACGCTCTTCAGAAGACTCCTCGCCACGTGTATTAATTGACGTCTTCACAGAAGTCGTTAGCAAGCTGACGACTACATTCTGTTCAGTTAGGCCTGTCCAATCGTCGTGTTCGATGGAAATTCCATTTTCTAAAAATTCCAGACGGGATCCGAATCCATTTTCAGAGGGATCTGTGGAGAAAAGGGAGGTGGCAGAAGGCGGAAGACCTAGTTTATTTGTGTCTTCTGATGTTGTAGGCGGCAGTGGAGGTGGTACTGAAACAAATTTTTTTTTTGAAAATTTGTTCAAATTTGAAATTTTCAAGTTTTTCGTCAAAAGTTGCAAGAAAAACTAAGAAAAATAAGCCAAAAATCATTGAAAACGGTTGAAAATGGGCTTATTCACAACGATTTAAAGATTTACTGAGGCTTAGGAATTCTTGTAGTTTGTAGTCATTTAGCCTCAGTAAAAGAGTTTAAAATTCTTCAAAATGGCTCATTTTTTGTCGTTTTTTCTACAAAATCAAATATTTTCTATTTTTTATAGCAAAAACCTTAAAATTAATCAAAAATTATTCGAAAAAGCGGTAAAAAATTTCGAAATTTCTAATTTTTTGTAGTTTGTAGTCTTGGAAAAACGCGATTTTGAACACAAAAAAAATGAAATATATTTTTTCGAGAATTTTCGAGAGTCAAAATTGATTTTTTCACCGATTTCTTGCAAAATTTGTAGACCTTTTTAGGTTTTTCAGCTGCATCCGACATACGAGCCGGAAGCATAAAGTGTAAAGCCTGGGGTGCCTAATGAGTGAGCTAACTCACATTAATTGCGTTGCGCTCACT